TTTGAATTATCAAATCTTCCTTATATGGCCAAAATGATAAGCATTGTTTATATGTTTCATCGATGTTCATGGTTGCTGATTAATTTGAAAAGGGTAAGTTGTCTCATTCCAAACTTGATGAAGATAACTTGAACATGATTCAAAGGTTCTACTTGGAAAACTTGTGTCATTCAAAAATTGATGATACAATCCAACCAGGTTGGACCATCCTTTTGGTTAAATGATCTCATTTCTAAATTGATGCTAGATTATTTGACTTTGAGAAATCAATAATTGTGACCTTCCAAATTGAAATATTGAAATAGTTGTTTGCAAAAGAAGCCTGTGGGTCTTGTTCTTAATTGAAACTTGACATCACATGACTAGGTTATTGTAAGTGACTTGACTATTGGTCCTATTTGTTGAAACTAGACAATGATTATTCTCTTACAAATAAACTTAAGTTGATGGCTCTTTGCAAAAACAAATTGTTTCGGCCTAGTTCTTAATTTATGAAACTGGTTTGATGCTTATGAACATGGCATTACGATGCTTTATGATATTAATATATGTTCTTTTTGTCTGATGATATGATGCTAAGTTCTTTTAGTAGAACTAAACATCTTTGATAGATTATTCAACCGATTGAATTCATAATAATATGAAATTCATATTTGATATTTTACAGAGGATGGCAGAGATGGATGAAAGCTTAATGAGAGGGATCTTGACCAATATCACCTCCTTGATGAATAAATATATCATTTAGAGTATGTGGACACTTGACAGTTCACCTGCTATTGCCCATTTTAATGGAGTCCATTTATTTGAGACTTACATTTTGCTATCTTTATTTTATGAACATTGTTGATTGTGAAATGATTTTGAGACTTATTTTGGATGTTGAGATTTGGATGAGTTTAGATTGAATCTAAAACTCTAAATATTTATTTTGGTATGTTGCTCTCAAAACATATTCATGATAATGATGATTTATTTATTTAGATTGCAAATAATGATTGAGTTTAATATCTTACTATTAAAACTCTTTGATTGATCTGAGTTAATTATCTTGGACTAGATGTAAATGATTCATACTTGTTTGAACATTAAATTGAGCACTTTATTAGATTGTGTTGTATGGTGAATATATGAGGAGATTGTTGGGTATATTAATTATAAAGTCCAATAGTATGTTCACATACAAGCCCAATAGGTAAAAGCATGTTTATTTGGGTCCATATGGGTCGGAGCAGCTTGCATTATTTTTAGGGTTTCCTAAGCTGGAAGTAACACTGTTGAGCATTCCAAACTTGATGTCTCTTGGTGTAATACTTCAAGTACTTCAAAACCCTTATCTCTCAAACTCATAACCTCCAACAATCTTGAAGATTAGCTTCGTTTTTATTATTCTTCATGTACAAAAGAAACTTGGAGAGTTCTTTAAATCTAACAACCTATCGATCCAATATTGTATTATTCTGCCTAAGTTAGTGTGAATTTTGAATTTCTCATCATCTTTCACAAAATTTTCTGACTCCGCCGTTGACAAGAGGAGTTTGGAGGGGAGGCCATCATAGAGAACTAATCATGAAGATATAGAATAGATGATGAATTCCTCCATTCTTCCATCGAAAGATCCTTCTTAGAGGACAGTCCACGAGCCATCATATGGGAACCACTTCCACCCAATGATTTATTTAATTTTTATTTTTTTGGATAATGTAGGAAAGGAAAACACAACAAAACAGAGGCATGATATAAATTTTCTTAGCAAGGCAAAGCCCATTATGTATGTAATTATTGTTTTAAGTTTTATTTGAACTTGCTTGTATTTATTATGGTAGTTAGTAAAGGAGTTGTTATTGTAGTTGTTAAAGTCATTCATGACTCTTACCTTGATTTGCCTCCCGCACAACTAGATAAATCTTGAGAGATTTATAATGCTAATTAGGGAAGCTTAGAAACAATAAGTTGTCAAATTGATTTTCTTTAATTATATAGTACTCCGTGAATTTGAAGGTGGTAAAAAGGGTTCAATTCATTAGGTTGGCTTTAACCTGCCACAATGACAGGTTGAGTTGAGATTTCCAACCCATCAAATTGTTTAAACCAACCTGCATAAGGGTAGTCAAAACAGGTTCAACTTACCGTGTGACAGGTTGACCAACAGGTTATTTGTTTTTAATTATTAAGTAATATTTTATTTGTCATGTTAAGCTTTTGTGATATCCAAGAATTTTATATTAGTACTTGTTGGGTAGTAAAATCCGAAGATTAAGATCGTTCTATAGGAACGGTTGTTTTAGTTTCCTTTCTTGGTTCTATTGTTAAATTCTTGAGTTTTAAGTGACCAATCTTTCAAACTACCAACTAAATGAATCCAAATATTTATGAGATTTGTATTTAACAAAAATAACAGAAATATCTAATCAACAAATACAACAATTATAAGGTATTGGAATTCTTGAATCATGGATTTTCTAAAAAATTCGCATCTCTGCGTTTTACAACTGCTATGGCACTTTAATCTCAGAATTTGAATTACTATGGTTGTTTTAGCTAAAACTTCTCGGTTCCAGTTTTAATTTTAAAAGTGGTTTTTTCCAAAGTCTTCTAAATCTTCAAGAATTATATCAAATACCTCATTGGGTTATCCCTAACCTCAAGGGTTCAATTAGCAAAAGAACATAACCTGATTTCCTAATCACAGCTATGCTAAAAATATTCAAGATTCATTCCCATGGTTTTCTTGAACTTTAAATCAGAATCTTGCTAATCAAATGAGATTAAAGAACACATCACAGTGTTCAAAAATATACAGAATCACCGAATCATCGTGAATCCTAGAAAAAGAATTTAGCAACCCATATTAACAAAGAACAAACTAAAGATTATGAAATACTTCTACCAGAATTAACAAAATAAGAAGGACAAGAGTAAAGGTACAGACCAATTATCCAGAATTTACAAAGGTTCTAAAAGTTAGAACAAATCATAAAGTGCAGATCCAAGCTTGCATGCAGCTAGGTCCTTGATTCCTTCGCACGAAGCTTTGTTGTTAGCATTCTTCGAAGTCAAGAATTGGAAGAACATATGCACTCAGCTTTCAAAAACTCTCACAGTACTCAGAATCTTTTCAAAAGCAATAACGAAGATTGAAGAAATCTAAATCTGAAATCTCTCTTCTGTACATAGCTAATATATTTTGCTACTAACTAAAAAAACTAAAGAAATATATCCTAAGTGCTAGTTGTGCCATCCATCAAAGCTTAATCCAATGGTCCAAATTTGTTCTCACTTCCAAAGAGTTGATCCACGTGCCTCTTTCACTGCAAACAAGTGGTAAAAAAATGTGAGTAAAATTTCTAAATTCTAATTTTTACCACTTTTCCATCGTGAGCTGTTTTCTTAGACATTGGCCCACTTTTCACCAGCAATCTGTGTTATATAAGCCTAATTATCATGAAAATAAATTATTAATTTAAGTTTAATAAAAAGCTAACAGTACTCGTCTAGAAAAATAAAGACAAAATACTTTATTTATGACAAAAATTTTCCATATATGTAAGTAAAAATGAGTTTATAAAGACTATCCGACTGAATATTAACGTATGTTTAGGTTTGAGATAAAAAAAATTAATGGGAGTGTGAAATGAAATTAAATAACATTATAAAATTCATAAAATATTTTAAATTTTTAATTTTTTTTAAATGGGTTAACCTGCCATTAAACATGACGGATTGATATTTTCAATTCACTTTCAAGAGGCGAGCCTGTCTTATACTATCCGTTTTTAGCGGGCTGAAAGCAAGTCAACCCACTTTGCCACATTGATTAATGATTAGGATGTCTCTTCATTAATTGTGATAAAGAATACAATCCAAGTTATATGATGAGGCAAGACCAAGTTTATTGCTTAAAATAGCTTATGTTTTCTAATCTTAATGCATTCATTAAGTTAACAATGGAGGCGTGAAGCTACTTAGTACCTATTTGAATATTCTTTCTTTTTAACTTTTCTTTTTCTTATAAGCAGAAGTCAAACCAAATAGGTAAAAGAGCTTTTTTTTATAACAAAAAAAAAAAACCAAAAGCTCCTTAGAGGAGGTTTTTTTTTTATTTTATATATATATATATATATATATATATATATAAAACTCTTATCAACTTTTCTTGAAATGAGAATTGAGCTTTTAAGAAAATTTTAAACTATAATTTTTATATAATCACCAAATAGTTTTTTTTTTTTTTTTTTTAACTTTAACTTTAAAGTAAGTTTTAACTTAAAATAAAGAGGAATGCCCAAGATAATGAAAGAGTTTTCAGTTTTCACATCTAACGACTATATTAGGTAGTGCACGATTCATTTTATAATATTTAAATCAGATTTTCATAAGTGGTTGATAAGGAAAGGGTCAGAGATGCAGAGAGAAAAAGAACAAGGAAAAGAATGAACTTTTTCTGATATCTAATACAGCTCATGACTTCCTTATTTAACATACACATACAACCCCTGCATATGTAACTTCCCTTCACATGGTGTTAATTAATCCCGCGTGATGACTCTTAACAACTCAGTTACAACTCCACTCCTACACAAAATTACACAACTACCATTACTGACTAATACAATTGCCAAGCAATATTTCTGCAACTCCTTCCTAATCCATAGCATAGTTTCTAAACCATATTGCTGGACATCTTTTCCTGTTGGTCCTGTGCTCCTTCCTAATTCATTCTTTGCATGTAACAGTGGTATATCTTGTCTATGTAGTGCTGAAGATTAATTTCTTAATCAGTTTTTAAAAAAGGTAAAGATTAATTTACAAAATCCGCAAAAGCCAGAACAATAACAAATTTGCATGTTTTTAAAAACTTAATAAAAATGATAAAATAAAAAAGTTTTCATTTGATGGTTTCTTCCTTTGCTTTTTCTTATTTTCTTATTTTACCGGAATGGAATTGAAAAAGCAAAGAAAGACACTTGAGCATGCACCACACTTGAAAGTCGGAATATAGAAATCTTGGGTTAAAAAACAACACTCGAGAGAGAGCACCCAAGCCTAAGGGTGAAAGAAGGGAGGGACTGAATACAAGCTTTCTTAATATAAACAAACCAAATTGCCTCAAGAGTCATAGCCACACAGTTTTTCCAACAAAGTAATGGGGATCAACGGGGATAAACAAGTTAATCATCAAACAGAAACATTCATGACAAGTGAACACCATTGGAAGGGAAAATAAACCAAGTTTGTGCCCTCATTTAAGGAGAGTCTTCACAATGGATTTGACGTTGAGTTTCTTGAGGTCAGTATAAGACTGTCCACAGCCCACAAACATGACAGGAGCTCCAGATATGTAAACCATTGAAAGTGCAGCTCCCACCTGATAAATGGAATCATCATTAAACCAATAATTATTTTCTAATCAACAAGTTCCATATGTCAGAGCCAAAAATCCATATTTCTATGCAATTTTAGAATTTATGTACCTTATCATCGATGGTGTCAAACTTTGTGAGCAAGATTCCATCTATTAGCCTTGGATTAGGAGATGTTGAGAGGTCAGCTAATTTCTGCAGTGAAATAGTTGAGGTTCAATATAGGAAAATATAAATAAGGCTAAAAAAAAAAAGTTATAGCTGGACAATATTAAACAAAATATAGAACTGAACCTGATTGAACTTCGAAAGCTGATCAACTGCATCATTACCAACTAGTGCTTCTCCAACAAATAAGACTAGGTCTGGATTGTTAAGATAGATGAGTTTTGACAGTGCTCTCATCAATGGTTCATTATCCTGAAAACAAGCAGTGACATATCGGATCAATGTAAAAGCATTAAAAAAACCATCATCTAATAGTATCCCCATGTAGCCATAATCATTCAATCAATGCAATCCAGCATGAGAATGGTCCTCTTACCCCAATAATAACATGCCATACAAGAAGGATCATTGTTTGGAAGTACTATAATGAATAGAAACAGAGAGCATGAATGACAGGATTTGCCTAGTATTTGAATACAAGCAAACTTCATATATGACACAAACATCGGATAAAATAACCAAACTCTTGACCAAAACAATAAATGTGGTTATACCTGCATGCGACCAGCTGTATCAACTAGAACCACATCTGAACCATTGCGTGAAGCTTCCTGAATTGCTTCTTTTGCCACAACGGCAGGATCTTTCTCATAGCCCTTCTCAAATATAGGGATCTGAAAGAAGGAAATTATAAGACTATATGCTGCTTGTAATAATTTTTGACATGAAGTAAAAAAATTAGAATATACAGTTTAATGAACTATATAATCTTTAGGCAGTAAAATGAATATAAACCTGAAGTCTCCGAGCATGAGTCCGCAGCTGCTCAACAGCCCCTGATCGAAATGTGTCACAAGCAGCCATCATAACACTAACGTTGTGCTGCTGAAGCCAGTAAGCAACCTACACCATGACACATAAAATAAGTCAGCCCCATCTTATTAAAAAGCATGCCCTACATATAAACCTCCATTAAATTGGAGAAACAATATGATTTCCCCCACCTTAGCTAGATTAGTAGATTTTCCAACACCATTAACACCAACAAATACAACAACATATGGTTTCCTTTGCTCCTTGGCAACATGCACATCCCTCAGTATATCAATGGAACGCCTAGGAGTTAAAATTCGAACAAGTGCTTCTTCCATTGCCGCCTGCATTAATATTTTTAAGCACACTATCAATTTGAATGTTATACAAGCGTATATTTATAAAGAAAAGGCAGCACCAAATGTAGATAAGAAAAAAGATAGAAACAAACATGCACTGTTGAAGATATCCTTGTAAATGAAGCCAGCTTTTTGCCTTCAAGACTTGCTGCCACTGATTCACAGAGTTTCTCAGCTATCTCCTCAGCCTACAAGAAACATAGAATGCAAACTGCTGAAATTATAGGAATTTAGATATAAAAAGTGAAGAATGAATTACTCAGAATAATAAAATAAAAGTATATTGATATTGTTGTGAAGGATTTGTTACTATGCATTGAAACTACAAAACATTAATCCCTTTTTATACTACTATTAGACTCCAAATCCTAATTAGATAAGAATATAAGGAAATTATGAAACTATTCCTACGAGATTATAAGAAACTCTAAACCATTCTAAGATACAATCAAGATATTATGAGATAATTTTCATATATTGTAACACTCTTCCTCGAGCTAAAGCTTAATTAGCTTTAAACATGTTACAAATAACCCCCTTAAAAATGAGAAATAAACAAACAATATAATGTGTTTCCACAAAACATGGTTGAAAAGGAAATTGATACGAACCTTGGGAGAGCCTCACCTCAAAAGTTAGCCCATGAGGTAGGAGAGTCCAAAGTCCATATAAACCCCACATTAGTCACCCGTATAACCAATGTGGGACTCAAGTCTCATACCTTGCAATTAGATTGTAACATTCCACCCACGCGGATTGGGCAATGTTTCAAGTAACAACGGATACTGCTATTCCAACTTTCTTTGATATGGATTTCTATATTCCAAATTTATTTTTGTAGTACGAAAAATGGTGGAAGAAAGGGTAGGCAAGGAACGAAAAATCTTCCTATATCCATGTCTACGATACATGAATGGGATAAAGTTCTCGTATCAAAACCCTATTCTTTTAGTTAGATTTAAGTCTAACGAGAATAATATTCTACAACCAACAATTCATCTATTTTCAAACCAACCCATTTTCAAACCTCCAACCCCCCCCCCCCCAAAAAAAAAAAAAAAAAAAAAAAAAAACCCGAAAACTAGCCCATGAGGTAAGAGAGCCCAAAGTCCATATAAACCCCACATTAGTCACCCATATAACCAATGTGGGACTCAAGTCCCCATACCTTGCAATTAGATCGTAATAGAAACCCACGAATGTAGTGGACGTTGGAGAGATGAGCAATGCTAGAAAGTAAACTCCGCAAGATGCCTGGAATGTTGCATGACCAAGGAAGAAGAGACTTTGATGGAATGATCAACAACGTGAATGTCCTGGCAAACAATTATACACAATAGGAACTAAAGCTTCTCCAAGTTCATCAAGAACAACATTTGGAAGCTTCAAACCAAAAGAAAACTTAGGAGATCCAATAAATTGAAATTGAAATTAAAATTGAGGTGGGCGTGCATCATAGAAATGGAGAATTCACCGACGACGTGAATTATTAATGATATAGAAAAAATCACCATTGGTATGATTCACAATAGGAGATTGGATAAATCACAACTAACTCATCACTATATGACTCATTAGTAAGAAAGAAGTCAACAGAATGATTGTCGATGGGAAGATCGAGGGCCAAAGCACGTAAGGAAAAGAGTCAACAGGGCAGATAGCACTATCAGATGAATTTTGTACACAAGATGTGGAGTTTTTTTTAGATGGATTAGTCATGCTTGAAGCCAATTTTGGTTGAAACATCGGCTGGGTGAACCAGAAGACCGAAGAACCCAATGAATCAAGACTGAAAACACCAAAACAAAACAAGTTGTCGACAAAGAGACAAGCATCAAAGGCGAGACAAACAACGGCAGGAAAGGCGTGAACTATTCCGGCAGAAAGGTGTGTATCAAAAACCTATTACCTAATAGTTCCAGTTAGAGGAGAATCTGAAAAGAGGGTAGTGACACTAGACTACCAACGCTGGAGGTAACCAAAATGTTGGCTGGATGTGCCCTCACTTGCCAAAAAAATGGAACAAATGCTTGGAGGGCTACAATGGTGCATGGAAGTTTTGGTGGAAGCATAGCTTCGTGGGTTGAATGACTAGCGATTGCTGAAGACAATGATGTGGACGTGGAGTTGACACTCAAACAATGGCAGATCTTCACCAAGAGTGGCTTAGAGGAGAGATTGGACAGCTAGGTTGTGGAGATGAGAGAGTGCGCGCAAGTGATGCTAGGTGTGTAGGTCAATGCTAGATCCAGAGCATGGATATCACGACGAGCTATTTGGGGGTAACAGCAACAATAGAGGTGGCTGGACAAGCCTTCATGCACAACTGCAGTGGTAACACATGGATCTGAAGCACAAAGAAAGGGAACACGCATGAAGGCGCTTGAGATGGCTGATGGTGGTGGTTCCTCGGGGAACAAAAGGCTCGGGCACAAAACTTTTGCAAGTGGCTTCACCTGTTGGAACTATTGTGGCAACAAACAGTGGTGATAGTGGCAATTGAGCATGAAAATTTTGAGAAATTCTTTGGTGGTGCAAGAGCAATGAAGGCGCTATCTGAAGCACAATGAAGGTGCAAACTAATAGGCTTTAGACTACTATGTAGGCAGTTGGGGTCAGCTGCAATAAAGGCCATCGCTGCAAAGCTGCAATGACGTTAGGCTAGGGATATCATGGAGAGAATAGAATGACGTGAATTTGTGCATAGCCGACAAGAAGAAAATAATAATAGAGATAATGACATTGTTACAACAGAGTTTCAAATTTTAGGGAATTTGACACCGGAATAGTGATAGGACAGGTTATGAAGGATGGTACCACTGTAATACCATGTTAAAATTTTAGGTTTCAGGTATAAAGGCAGGAAAACAAATACTCATAATAATAAATTTATATTGATATTGTTATGAAGGATGTGTTACAATGCAATCAAACTACAAAGTACTAATCCCTATTTACACGAATATTAGACTTCAAAACCTAACCAAAGAAGGAAATAAATCATAAAATATCAAAAAAGAAGGAAACTATTCCTAAGAGATCATCTAAGATACACTAAACTATTCTGGAATACAATCAAGATATTATGAGATATTTTTCATATATTCCAACACAAACAATATTAGCTAGGTAAAGGACCCAAAGGATAACCATTATGGTATGCTGAGGGAAAAAAATAAAAAATCACTCCCGATTAAACCCTGACCAGCGAGGGTCAAGATGAAGGCAATCCTTGTGTGTACCCTTCCATATTTACCACTGCTCCAGACTCGTCCTCTTAAGAATGCAAAGGAAAAATAAAAGAAAAAAAATGTTGTTGAGCATTAACACGTACCACATTCTTGGTCATGAGCCTATCCTTTAAAGCTTTCAAAGCTGGTTCTAAGTCTGACTTCTCCAAATTTGCCTTCCCCGCAATACTGAGCACGAGGATATGTGAAAATATACTGATTAGTCATTTCAGTGAAAAGCTGAAAAATAAAATAAAAGAAATGTACAAACAAACAGAAAGATTTAAATTGGTCTGTCAAGGATAGGGGGAGAAAAAGATATTTGCATCGAACAACACAAAATGCTTACGACAGTGAATGTCAGAAAAGGGAAACTGGAAACAGGACAGCATCCCTTGATTATCCAAAATAAAACTTGATTCATCATGCCAGAGGGAGCACTTTCAAGATCAAGAATAACTATTTTCTTTTGTTCCCCTTCTCTGCCCTATTCTTAAATTTCAGGTGAAGATGTACTAGAATACCTAACTGCATTACAAAGTAAACTAGGAGGGCTTCTTCTTGATGCATATATATAAAATGCCAAATATTGCATGAAACTGAACTGATTTCTTACCAATAAGGTTCCAATTTAAGAAAATTTACAAAACATAATTATATTAGTAATGCAATACAGCAGGAAATTGTTATTAAAACAAGTCAAGTCATCTCAAGAAAGCAATGCGACAAACAATGATATCTTCACGTACAAACTAGAACATCCCATGTACAGTTATATATTAATTTTGAGGGCTCCAAGCATGAGAGCAACAACCCCATAGTAATATAGTATAAGTTAAACTACAAATCATTTCATCAAAATATTCAAACAACTTAAACATAAAGATATCTGCCAATGAAGCTAGCAAAGTGCACAATATAAAGAGAGTAAGCAGAGCAACCTTTACCTCTGGAACATGGATGAAAACCAACCCTTGTTTTTAGCATTCGTCTTGCTTTTCTTCCCCACATCATTCTCCTCCTCCTCCTCCTCACTTTCACTGCTAACAATATCCTCTTTATCCATCATACTTTCACCTATATCTGCAGCCACAAAATCTATGTTCTTGTCCCCATCCTCACCTGAATGATCAGTAAAGTCCAGTTTTGTTTCAGGAGGTTTATCATCCCAAACTCTATTTTTCTTTGTCACTTTTTTGTTTGGCTCTGCCTTGGAGGCCTTGGCAACTGTATCTGTCTTCTTTCCACCTTTGGTCCTAAGCTTCTGAAGCTTATGTACATTGAAAGCCCCAACTTCGGAACTTGCATTCTCCCTACCATTCACATTACTACTCAGGTTAGAATCTTTAGTAACAACAAAATTGCCATTAGAGTGCCCATTCTCCAACTTAAGGCCCTTGCTATTGTCACCATCCCCGCCATCATTCTTCGGAGCACCATCACCCTTCTTCTTACTCCCTCCCTCGAATCCAGACTTATTTCCCTGCCCTTGCTTCTTGGCATTCCCGGCCATGGGGGGATTCGACCTCTTCAAATCCTCAGCACGAGCCAGGGCTTCCAGCCTCAGCTGCCTAAAAGTCTCATCAAAATCGTGATACGCAGTCCTTTTCGGATCATAAACCTGTGAAAACTCGTGCTTCACCATAGCAAGAAGATCCTCCACATACAACAGATGAAGGATCCGTTGGTACACAGCCACAAACACAAGGCCAAGTTCATTGTGAAAGGTCCATTTGAGGGTGTAGGAAGCACCCGGGGCATCATAATTGTATGATGCCGCACCAGATCGCTCCTCCAAAAGACAGGAGCGAATCAAGGTATCAATAGGTGAACCTTTTAGAGCGTTCCCAAGTTCTTTACAAGTCCAGAGGATTAACCCTCCTCTTGTAAATATCAGTAACTCTTCTAGCATCCTTGATAACTTGCAATTATCCTGTTATCAATAATAATAAAAAAAAAAGTTTCAGAAATTTTATTCGGATTCGGAAAAACCTAGAATCCAACACCGAGCAAACATAATCGCAGGAAAAACATGTTGGTGTTCGTGTTCATGTGTCGTGTTGATTGATGATTACATTGAACAATTCGAGAAAAATAAAATAATTCGATAGAGGCAAGAAAAAGTGCTGGATTTCTAAGGGATTGATTGAGAGAACAAGAAAAAACATCGCGGCGAGGGAAACGTACCTGTTGTTTCTTGGAGCTGTGAGAAACCCGAACAACCAGAAAAATGAAAAAAAAAAAAAATAAAAAATTAAAAAGGAACAAGAAAAGCGAGATTGGAGTTTGTGAATGTTTTAAGGTTTATATATGGGGTGCGTCATGTTTATAGATCAACACGTGCTACGGTGCTACATTCACGCTGTTTTGGCTGTTAAGAGGATAAAAAGAATTTTATTAATAATTAAACAAAAATTTCTCTTTTAAGGCAATTTTTTTCTTAGATATACTTGTGGACTTATCAGTTATTTCGAAGTACATTCCTGTTCCCCGTTCTCCAATCTCCACTTTTATCCCGTCCTAGATTTTTGCGATATTTGTTTCCTTTTTCCTGTTTTTGACATTTATTTCACGAGCAAAGGTGTGTATTTTTATATGACACAATTAATATTTTTTAGTAATTTTATATTATATTTCATTGATAAAATATAGTTATAATACCAAAAAAAAAAAAATTCTCTCTTCTCATTTACATCAACTTGATGTGAAAATTGAAAAAAAAAATTGTATTATAACTATATCTTACCGATAAGACATAGTGTAAAGCTATTAAAATGATACAAATTATATCAATTAAAAGGATAAATGTTAAACCCTTATTTTATTTAATAAATTAACAAAAATGAATTAAATAAAGAGAATTATAAGGAGTTACTAACTCATGCACGATTAGAAAACATATATTATATAAATATAATGTGTTTTATTGATATGCATGAGTTCATTTTTAATTTTTGTCCTCAAATTAGTTGAGGCATTAATTTCTCTAATTTTTTCTTGATCTTATATGAACAACTCCATCGTTTTCTTCATCTTATCCTGCACCATAATCTCTTGACTCTCTTTTTTTCATAATGTATTCTATCATGCTCAAGGCATGCATGTACCATCTACATAACATATCCCCACATCTTGATTCAAAATTACCCATATTCATTCACTAATTTTATTCCATTTCGAAATTCACTTGCATGTACCTTACCATGACAATTTTGCATGTGAAAAGGAGAAATGCTTGTGTGTGAACAAAAGAAAAAGTTGCGAGATTGCATGTGAGGAAGGAGGGCATTTGGTTCTTTGCAGAGATACTCTAAAGTCATGAGAGTCTTTGAAATTGGACTCCTTGTAATTGAGCTTTGAACCTTGTTTGGACTTTGTATTTGAGCTCTGAACCTAAATTACAAATACATAATAAGGGGTACTCTATCACTTGATTGCTTATTCGACCAGTGCAATTGTGGTGATGTGTATATCTAGGCACAACAAGAGCGAGTATTAGTATTTGATTGTTCAAATTTTATTATGCTAATCTTTTATCTCAATTTGAGTTTGTCATCGTCAAAAGGGAGAGAGTATGGACCAATATGCATTGAAGATTACTTTTGGTGGTGTCACGTCTAATTTTTTTTTATAAAAATTAAACTAACATGAAGAATTTGTTAAATAAGTGGTTTCTATGGCTCAAGAGTGAGGTTAATTTAGTTTTCAAAAAATTTCCACAAATTCCCTTCTTCCTTTAATAGAATTGATATCCAAATATCTCTATAAGCAAGTAATGAAATTATGAGAAAAGAACAATAATACAAGAATGAGAACACCTAGAAGAAAGAATATGATGAGCCTTATGGTCAAAGGATGGGTGAATTATAAATGAAACCACTCAAACCAATTAAAATAGTAAAAAAACAAAAAATAAAGATCAAATATAGAATACAAACAATTAAAACAAAGTGTTGGAATGTCCTCACCAACAATCTTCGAATCTATAAAAAGTATGGGTTCGCTTTTTCTGCAGTTACTGCAGATAAGTTATCTGCAGTAAGTCCAATACGACGTCATTTTGGGACAAAAATCATGGTGTTTTTGTAATTTTAATTTATTTCAGAGTTATTATAGTCTTTATAATTATAATTTTCTAATCTTTCAATCTCAAAATGACGTCATTTTAGAAGTAAATGCAGATAATTTATCTGCATTAAATGCAGAAATATTTTTCTGAAAAAGTATTTAGATATTGTTTACACTTTGTGTGGATAATACAAAGAAAGCTCTTTGGAAATATGATCAAAAGCAATATGAGCCCAACAAATCAAAATAAAAATGGATGAATATGATCAAGAATACCCAAAATCTCTCTAGAGCACATGAATTCTATAACAATGATGTGAATGACCATAGATATGAACCTAAGAAATGATGGAAGCCTTTTATCCATGAAATCAATCCATTAAAAAGAGAAAATAAACATTAAAAGTCATAACTGTCTCAAATATCCATACACACACACACACATATATATATATATATGTATATATATTATACTGAAAAAGTATAATATATTTTTCAGAAATATTTTTCTGAAAAAGTATTTAGATATTGTTTACACTTTGTGTGGATAATACAAAGAAAGCTCTTTGGAAATATGATCAAAAGCAATATGAGCCCAACAAATCAAAATAAAAATGGATGAATATGATCAAGAATACCCAAAATCTCTCTAGAGCACATGAATTCTATAACAATGATGTGAATGACCATAGATATGAACCTAAGAAATGATGGAAGCCTTTTATCCATGAAATCAATCCATTAAAAAGAGAAAATAAACATTAAAAGTCATAACTGTCTCAAATATCCATACACACACACATATATATATATATATATATATATATGTATATATATTATACTGATCATGGTTAAAATGGTTTGTTAAATTATCTAGTAGTTAGGGTTGTTTTCTTTTAGTATTTTAGTTTTTATGTGTTGTAAAAAAAATTATATTTTGATATTAGAAGTTGTAATTTGTAATTTTAACTTAAGTTGTAACTAGTGAGTTGTGTCTGGTTTCGTATGTATTTTCAATTTGAATTTGATTAAATATTAGTTATAATAGAACAATTATTTTTCATATGTCTGTTTAATATAATTTTATAGTTAAAGTAGATAAAGGAATAATTGAATCGACAAAAACGTGTTGGACTATTGCGGTTTAGGATGCTAACAAATTATCATGGTTCCTTAACACAAAATAGTACATCTTGATGATCCATGGGCGTGCAAAAGGTTTATCCTTTAAGTTTTGTACTCTTTTGTAGAGAGATCCTCTTAGATGTATGAACCTTCCAAGCTATTCTCAAGGTAATGGGACAAATGTGTGGGCTTTTGTATTTTTTTTCTTGGACTTCTTGACAACCATCAACAACCTCTCTTAGGGCTATGTAGGCTAAAGATAGCTTATAAAGGAGACAAGAGAACCCTAGTTCTTATTTGGGCTCTTCTCACATTAGTTAGGCCTTTTAGGGCTTTTACTCTAATATGATTCCAAGAGCACAATAAGGGCATACATGGCACTTTCCCAACAATCTTCTAGTTGTTGTTGAGGATAAACTCGAGCATAAAGCCAAAAAGCATGTAACTCACCTTTAGCCCTTACTCAAATGTCAACCAAGATATTTGTCCCGCCACTTATATCAAGTTAGCCTGAGAATCCACCATCTATTATTAGAATATCGATAATTGAACTTCAAGATTAATGATACCACAAACATGAATATAGATTGCGCCATATTAGAATATCGATAATTGACCCATAAGCTTTTTGATACTAAATCAATTATCTATTCTATTGACTATGATAGTTTCTCTAATAGATTATATAAACAGGTCAATCCCTTGAATATCCAAGTACTGAAATATATCAAGAGGATATTTTCTAACAATTCCCTATTGTTTATTTCATAAATATTGATAATTAATTGATCTAGCTCCCTAAATAGCGAGTTATTGGTTGTCAATAGATTGAATCTCACTCGTTAGTAAATCAAAAAAATGAAAACTATTCAATTATCTATTTATAATAACTTAGTATTAAAAAAACATAACTAAAAGGAGAAAAGAAGAAAATTACCATAGCCATGGATGAATTTAAAACTTACCTGATGAATGAATCGATATTATAAAAATTAATATATCTAAAAAAAATCAATTTAAATTAGAAGTGACATTTTCATATTATAAAATTTTGAGAAAGGTTTATATTTATAACCTCTTTTTCACTTACAAATTCTTACAATCAAATCTTAACGGTTGATTTCCGTCAATCTGAAGGTTATAATTTATTAAAAATTAATAATTAATTAATAAGTATGACCCAATAAGTTATAACTGTTAGATTGACGAAAATCAATAATTAAGATTTGGTTGTAAGAGTTGTAAGTGAAAAGAGATCGTAAATATAACTTGCATCTATAATTTCTTATTAATTAATTCATCATAGATTATTTAATATATTTTTTAATATTAATCAACTATGCATATAAATTACATAAAACACAAGATTAATTAAGTTATAATAATTAAAATATAAAATAATGCATAAATAGTAAAAAATTAGTGCATATGACTAAATTAGTGCATATAAAATAATGCATATACAAGTTTTAGACTCCTCCAAGATCTCACTAAATGCTATCGGATCTACATTCTTATTGGAATTTCGCTAATATCTGTATATAAACCTGATTTATTTATTTTTACTAAAATTGTACATTGTATTATAAATTTTTTCACAGCCCTTAAGGACTTTTATTGTGTAAAAATTATCTTATTTTATATGATCTAATATTATACTTGTTCCGGATGGCCCAACGCCATATGGCCCAATAAGCCCAAACCCTTTTATCTTGCCCTACCAACCCCCCAGCCTCTCTGCCCCCAAGACGACTGCACTCCCTAGAAGAAATACCAAAATAGCTCACCTTGGGATTCCAACTCCCTGGGAGACCGCCCCAGACACTATAAGTGGTAACCACCCTGTTGCCATATGCTGGCATCGCCGGGCACAGAGGCTGCATCACTACTATCATAGCAATGTCAGACACCCCCAACTGATCCCAAGAAGGGTTGACCCCCTCTCACCAACCCACGCAAGATTAGCTTTCCTTTCCCTTATAAATACCCCTCTCCACACACAAACAAAGGCATCTTATGTATCGTTATTCTGCCCATTTACTTTGAGTCACGTATACACATACCCCCCCCATAATCATCTGCTGCATTCATACTTGGGATAGTGCCGCCTAGCTTGGTCTTTACCTGTGCTAGGGGTATCACTCATACAGTGACTTCATCACTAAAGGGAACACAGTGGGCCAATAGATCCCTACGATACATTGGCACAGTCTGTGGGAAACTATAAATTTCTATTCCCACTCACTTACCAAAGATCTACAGAAGATAGATCCTACACCCTGAACGAAATATGGCAGTCACGACGAGGAGAACGCATCAGCCAAGAGCTACCTCCCCTGAAGGCCATGCACAAACAGTTCATTCCAGCTCCCCACCATCCATACAATCAGCTCCAGCCCAGCAAGCAGCTGTCGAGGTTCTCCCTCCGGTGCTGCAGTCGTTGACGCACAATTGCCAACTGCTAATGCCAGAGTAACACAGTTAGACCGCCACGTGGCCATACGTGAAGTTCAAGCAGAGAACTTGGTCCCAACTCAACCCCCACCACCTGGAGTCCATTATGGAATGTCGTTTCCAGTCACAATCCCCCAAACAATTCCACCTGCTATACATCAATAGCCACTCCGAAGCCAACCTGTGGCTATGTACAATGACCACTGAGTGCCAGTAGCCACCATATATCCCCCTGGACCTTACACCCACCACGTCGGTGTCCCTTACCCTATACGACCCATGGCTTCCGATTTTCCAATCCCTGGTTACGCGGTACCACCAGATAACGACGTTGCCCCACAACCTCAAGGTTCATATATGATCCTGCCACCACCCCAACATGGCATCCATCACGCCCCAGCCCTCTCATTCTCAGTGGAACCCTCTCAAGCACCCCACACACCGCCAGAGGCACGCGTGCATAACCTGAACTTGCGAGCCACCCGTCAATACTTCTGGGCGCAACAAACCCCTAACCGATAACCTTCGCCTAACCCCTATACCTTTGGGTTTCAAAGGCCCTTCCAATATTACCACCTATGTGGGTGATACTGACCCTTTTGAATGGGTTCAGAAGTTCGAAGCGGCAATGACCCTCAATGGTGAGACTGACCTCCTCATGTGTAGAACCTTTCCAACACTTCTAGGTGGGAGAGCGTTGACATGGTACACCACTTTGCCAACCGGGAGTATTGCTTCCTGGGACGATTTGGAGAGCAAGTTTCAAACTCATTTCGCAACGAGTCGCCCTGTACCCAAATCTGTCCATTCCCTTGAAAAATTTTGCTAACAATCAGAAGAGTCTCTTAGATCTTTTTTAGACCGCTTTGATAAAGAAGCCTTGCTGGTGCAGGGCCTAGACTCTAAAGTACAGGTACACATACTCATGTCAGGTTTGAGGCAAAGAGCATTCGCCTATGAACTCGCCCGCCATGAAATAACTGACCTAGAAGAGGTCCAGAAAAAAGCTCAAGAGTTCATGCGTATCGAAGAATATAAGGGGAGCAGAGCCGATGACGCTCAGAGCAGAGAGAGAAAATCCAGCAAAAATAAAGACCAAGACGAGGAGGACAGGAAAATTCACTAGTCCTCTAGATATACCGGTCGCCCTTTAGGGCGTGGCTCCTCAGGACACCAGTCACACAGCGTGCTGCAAACTAAATATAAGGAGGAGTGTAAGACCAACTCACAACGCCAAGAGCCAATTAGGGAAACCGATGTGTACTGCAAATTTTACCGCAGCAACGGCCACAACATCGAGGAATGCAGATCTCTTAAGGAAGATATTGATGAACTGATCAAAGGAGTAGCCCAAAGAAAATATAAAAATTCAACACGCGAAGTTGGTCCAACCAGGCATCACTCAGAGCGTAGCAGGTCACCTGAAAGGAGGAGAACCAACCAAGCTGATTACAGGCCCCGCTGTGAACGCAACCAAAGAGAAGACTCTCCAAGAGGTCACAGGGAGCGGACCGGTCCAAACACCAGAGGAAGACGTGAAGAATAAGAGGAAGACTCGACTGTCATCAAACATGGCGTAATAAACATGATCTCAAGCTGTTTGAGTGGAGGCGGAGAAACAGCCAACGCTAGAAAGAGACATTTGAAGCAATGTTTGGCGGTATCTGGCAAAGTCATCAACAAACAAAAACCACAATGGGTCCCATCAATCCAAGATCATGTGGGACAGCAATGAGCTGGGCGATGTCCTGCCTGGACATGATGACCCCTTGGTCATTCAAGTTATAATCGCCAACTTTGGCGTGAATCGAGTATTCGTTGACCATGGCAGTTCTGCTGACATATTATTTTTACCTTGTTTCAGGGCTCTAGGGTTTACAGTAAATGACTTGACCCCAGTAATAGGAGAACTGTCAAGCTTCAATGCAACAGTCACCAAGCCCCTCGGCATGATCAACCTGCAACTGTCAATGGAAACGCCAGCCACTTCAAAGTCAGCCGACATTCAATTCTTAGTGCTTGACACCCCCTCAACTTATAACGCCATCCTTGGAAGAAGGATGTTTGTCGCCTTTAAGGCCAGCATCTCCCACCCTCACCTGGCAATGAAATTTGTAGCGAAGGACAACAAGATCGCAACAATAAGAGGAGACCAAATAGTGGCTAGAAGCTATTACAACATCTCTCTCAAACCAACATCCAAGGTCACCATCAGAGACCAACCGACATCCCACCAGGTAACAGCACAGCTAGTTGAAGGAAGCTCTAGCAGGAAGGAGAAAGAGCAGGAGCAATGCTTTCTAGCAAGAGCAATGACCCTCGGATGGAACACTCCAGATCCACCCCTGACGGAGCATTAGAACATGTTGTTCTAGGCGATGCTGACCACCAAACAACAACCATCGGGGCGACCATAGACCCAGATGTGAAGAGCAAGTTGGTTAAGCTACTGCAAGATAATAGAGACCTATTCGCATGGAAGTCATCTGACATGCCAAGGATTGACTCTGAAGCATGTTGCCACAGAATGTTCGTGGACCCTAAGGCGAAACCCGTCGCCCAGAAAAAAAGGAAGTTTGGCCCTGATCGCCTGAAGGTCATCGATGAAGAAGTTAAGAGGCTCCTAGACGCTGGTTTCATCAGGGAAATCAAGTACACAACCTGGTTGTCTAATCCAGTGTTGGTTAAAAAGCCAAGTGGGGCGTGGAGAATGTGCGTGGACTACACTGACTTGAACAAAGTGTGCCCTAAGGACGCCTACCCTTTCCCTAGTATCGACCAGCTGGTAGACAACGTGTCCGGATTCAAAATGCTCTCCTTCATGGATGCATTACAATCAGATTCCTCTACTGGATGAAGACTAAGATAAAACGACGTTCATCACCCAAAACGCCAACTATTGCTACACCATGATGCCTTTTAGGCTAAAGAATTCTGGAGCTACTTATCAGAGGATGATGAACAAGGTTTTCAAAGAACTGATTGGCGACATCATTGATGTTTACATTGATGACATGATCACCAAGTCACAGTCACCTGAACAACATCTGCTACACCTCCGAAGTGTATTTGACAGGTTAAGGGAATACAACATGAGGTTAAATCCTAGCAAGTGTGCATTTGGAGTACCAGCTGGGAAATTTCTAGGATTCATGCTCACTGAAAGAGGCATCGAAGTAAATCCAGACAAATGTAAGGCGATGATAGAAATGAAGAGCCCCCAAACAGTCAAAGAAGTACAGCGGCTAACCGGCTGGATAGTAGCTCTCACCGGTCTTCTCGCAAACTCGGCGTACAAGTCCTTCCCTCCGTTCAACCTACTCAAAAAAGGAACAACCTTCCAGTGGACCGAGGAGTGTGAAAAGGCTTTCCTAGAATTTAAAAGAGCCATGTCATGCCCGCCAGTCCTCACCAAGCCAGACAGTGGCGAGACCTTGTTCCTATATCTCGCAGTGGGTGTAAAAGCCATAAGTGCAGTTTTAGTCAGAGAACACCAGGGTGAAGGGCAGAGACCAGTTTACTTCGTCAGCAAAGTTTTGCAAGGAGCCGAACTCTGATACCAACAGGGAGAGAAGGTTGCGCGCACACTCATCTTCGCCGCTCAAAGATTAAGACCATACTTCCAATGCCACTCAATTGTCGTTAGGACCAACCAACCCATCCGCCAGGTCCTACACAAGCCAGATCTCGCCGAACGAATGATGTCTTGGGTGATTGCACTGTCAGAATATCAAATTAGTTATGAACCAAGGACCGCCATTAAAGCTCAGGCCCTCACCGACTTTATAGCCGAGATGACACAGGGCCCACAGCCTGGCGATCAGGTCTCAGGAGCCCCGCCGCTAGCAGTGTGAAAGTTATATGTTGATGGCTCCTCCAACGCCAAGGGTTCTGGTGCCGGCATGATAATAGAAAACCCAGATGGGTTGGCGATTGAACACTCCCTATCCTTCAATTTTAATACTACCAACAATCAAGCCGAGTTTGAGGCCATGATAGCCAGGTTGATCCAAGCCAAGGAATTGGGAGCTCAGCACCTCAAAGTCTTCAGTGATTCTCAGTTAGTAACTTTCCAAATATCAAGAGAATATCAGGGTAAGGGCCCATTAATGTGCAGGTACTTGGAGAAAGTGAAAGAATTAATGCAAACCTTTGAGGCGGTTGAAGTAGAGCACATCAGGCGATCAGAAAATACCCGGGCAGACATCCTCGCCAAGTTAGCAAGCACAAAAAGTCCAGGTAATAATCGCTTCGTAATCCAACATAATTTGCCTAACCCATGCATCGTCATGAGTATTTCAAACGTGACGACCGAAGTCGCCGAAGAGACTTAGATCACGCCCATCGTCAATTACCTGTCTAAAGGAACTCTCCCACCTGACCAAAAGGAAGCCAAGAAGGTAGTACGCAGAAGCGCCCACTTCTGCATGGTACAAGGACGCCTGTATAAAAGAGGATGCTCAACTCCACTTCTAAAGTGTCTGAACCCCAGCGACGTAGATTACATCCTCGAAGAAATCCATGAAGAGATCAATGGCCACCATATGGGCGGGCACTCACTGGCAAGGAAAACACTCAGAGCTGTCTTTTATTGGCCAACCATGGAGAGAGACGCCCACGAGCATGTCAAAAAATGTGAAAGGTGCTAGAGGTTTGCCGACGTACAATAAGCCCCACCAGAAGAATTGACGGCAATCACCTCCCCTTGGCCCTTCTACAAATGGGGAATGGACATACTAGGCCCTTTCCCTATGGCGGCTGGCCGGGTCCAATGGCTGATTGTTGCCATTGATTATTTTACCAAATGAGTAGAAGCCGAACCCTTAGCCACCATTACATCCCAAAATGTGAGGAAATTCTTTTGGAGAAGCATCGTTTATCGCTTCGGCATCCCAGGAGAAGTCATTACAGACAATGGCACTTAATTCACTGACGCCAAGTTCTGAGAATTAATGAGAAATTTGCAGATCCAGCATCACTTTGCTGCAGTAGAACACCCTCAATCCAACGGGCTGGTAGAGTCAGCCAATAAAATGCTGGCCAAAATAATCAAGAAGAAGCTAGAAGGACATAAAGGGGCATGGGTAGATAACTTGGAGAACGTCATGTGGGACTACAGGACAACCGCCCAATCCAGAACCAGAGAGACTCCCTTCGGATTAACGTATGGCGCTGAGGACAAGAGTCCTATGGAAGTCGACGAACCTTCTTGGAGGAAAGACCGCGTAACCGAGGTGACCAATAGCCAAAACCTCAAAGAAGCGTTAGAACTATTAGATGAACTTCGAGAACATGCTGCTCCATTTGAACGCCAATCCAAAGAGAAGTCAGCCACCCGGTACAACAAAAAATTCATTCCCAGGAAGTTTGCAGAAAAAGACTTAGTCCTCAGGCGGGCTGACGTAGAAAACAAGAATGCCCGAGAAAGAAAGCTCGCCTGAAACGTGGAAGAGCCCTACCGGATAGCCAACAAGCTGGGAGGAGGAGCATATTCCCTTGAAACACTAGAAAGGAAAGCAATCCTAGGGCGTGGAATGCTAACAAGCTCAAGAGATATTATAGCTGAACCATCATGTAACTTCCATGCACTCTTTTCCTCTTACGAGTTTTTATCCCAACGAGTTTTGCTTGGCGAGGTTTTTAACGAGGCAAGACGTCACTTTTAAATCAATAAACACCTTTGTCAATTCTCCACCACTTGAAATCTAAGCTTACATGCGTTTCATTACCATAATTAGTCAAGAGATGGTTCTCACCCCCGCCAAGCGTTGGACTGAGACAGTTTTCACCCCCAGCCAACATTCAAGCTATGGGATGATTTTCACCCCCGCCAAATGTTGGACTGGGACGGTTTTCACCCACATCCAACATTCAAGCTACGGGATTGTTATGACCCCCGCCAAACGTTAGACTGGGACGATTTTCCCTCTCATCCAACATTTAAACTATGGGATGGTTTTCACTACCGCCAAACGTTGGACTTGGACGATTTTCACCCCCAGCCAACATTCAAGCTACGGGATGGTTCTCACTCCCGCCAAACGTTGGACTGGGACAGTTTTCACCCCCAGCCAACATTCAAGCTACGGGATAGTTCTCACCCTCGCCAAATGTTGGACTGGGACG